AACAAACTTGCTCCGATGTTACTATGGTCGAGTCGTAGGCTCAAATATTGAAGCCCCCAGTGACTGCGTGAATATTAAAATAGCACTGTTCAGTTACTAAGGAGCTTTTGGCGACGGACATCGTAATTTTAAGCCATGGCCAAATACCGAGGATGGCACTTAAGCTGGCACTCTCCTCTCCAAACTTCTTCACAAAACCAATAGGAGGACGTTTATGCCTAGACATAGTTTTCGTGCACCTGCCTTCTCTGCACGGCAGATCTTCAGCGGTATAGGCTGGAAATCATGACACACCGACCACGAGACTACTGCTGCCCAATTGAAGCCTTCAAAGATTTGCCGTGTAAAGAGGCTGATGTACACAAAACCTATCGAGACTAAAAGTTCATATGGTGACATCGTTTGGATGCTTAGAGTGCGAGACGCCAACTGAAGTTTCAGCTTTGTTGTTTGAACGAGGTTCAAAATCAGATTATGAGGTTCATGGAGTAAAGATTTCCGTTTAATCGATCAAACGTTATTTTACCAACCAAACTAATGTTGTCACGGATTATGAACCACAACGTCAACCTTCAGCACTTTCCCGCGCATTTTTTTTGGAAGTGACTTTCTTATCGAGAACTTCTTAAGTAATATACGATATTTTTTTAGTATTTTTAAAATATAAGTATTTATTTATGTGTTTTTGATGGACTAATCAGAATTCGTTCTCCCAAGGTCTATTCCCAGCATCAGAAAAGGTGAGTTAATTTCTGTTACATTTTAAACTGTTTTGATAATAAGAGCTATGTATTACAGAAAATATTCAGTGAGAATTTGCAAACTAAGACATTTATTCAAGTAAAATTTATTTGTATTGATAAAAATATACAGGTATAGAGACTTCAGAAAGCTTATATGTTTTACAAATATCATTCTATATTATGGTTTTCATTACATCTTCTATTCGTCAATAGAACAACATTGGGGTTTGGTGCTAGGAAAATAGTTTATTTGTTTTGTGAACATGATATGTTGCGAAAAAGTATTTTGAGTTTGAAAATTCATACAAATTTTGGAAACCAGGGTTTTTATTTTCAATCTTTTCCACCAAAATGCATCTTTTATTCGAATGTTTCAATTTGTTTAGAAATAATTTTTTATTTCTTCGTTTTTTTTAAGGTGTTTTTTTAATGATGTGTAATTTTGCGTTATATGGAAGGGCACATACATATATCGTTCTTAAGCTCTAGTGTTCTATCCAGAATAATGCGTAAATGATAAAGTCAATATAATAATCAAGAAGATAAATAAATGAAATAGGAATTATCTATTATTAGGATTTTTAAAAAGGCGCAATACAAGTGATGTAACCTTTTTTTAAGACTGATTCACTTTGAGTGTATGAACTTAATCATATTTTTCACAAATATTTTCCAAAGTTTAGAATATTTTTCCTTTCATAACTCACTCTGAGTAATCATAAACACTCCAGTGTTATTAGAAGTTTTATTTTAATTAATAAAAAGTGTATGATACTAATAAATTTAAAATTGAGTGCAAAACTAAGTTCGGAAAGGTACTTTATAATTTTTTTAATCTAAATAATTAGTGGTTCGTTATTATTTAAAAATAATAACAGCAAAAAAAAATTCAAATGCTCTACAAGAATGAGGTTTAAAAGGAAAGTTAGATGAGATGCGTTTATTATTACCTTATTCCAAACTAAAGAAAACTTTGCGGTAATTTCTGTTTTCCTTCGCAAATTTTTCCAAACTGAAGTGTTTTTTAAGGGCTGATAATAATAAAAATTCGGAGTCTTAAACCCTGAGAGAATTATTCGTAAGTATTGTAAAAAATAAATAAAAAACAGTCAGAACTCTCTTGATCTGGATAATTTTATTATTTACATATACCAAAATAAAGTACATCCAGAACTTGATAAAGAAAAAAATAAATGTAATTAGGCGTAGTAATTCCCTTTTATGAATCCAATTTTGTTAAGAAAATACCAAAAAAACTGCAAAAACGTTGAACACATAAAAAAAAAAACCCGAAACGAAAATATTGAAAATTCAACAAATTACAAAAGCTAATTCTTATTTCATTATGAATTGCACTAAAATCTTGTTGAGAATTCTTTCCATTTTCACATAAGATGAATGATTCATAAAGATGACTTTGCATCATTATTTTTTACCTATCTCGTTTCTTTGGTTTTCATATTATTTAAAATTTCTATCATTTTCCCAATAGAATAAGCTTGAAATATTTTTTTAAACTATTTAGTAATCCTTTTCTTTATTCATAGTTTAGTTTTAATGGAGTAGGATAATCTTATACTTTTATAAATCTTATTTATACTTTTATAAATCTTAATTCGAACTTTTTCGAAGATATACTGCTCATAAGTAGAAAAGTAGAATTCCCTTTTGGTTTTAAAAGTTTAACTCAATTTAGTTTACCTTCGAAATCATTGTAAATTGAAAAAAAAAGAAAAAACAAACAATGTGAAACTTTCGAATACAATAAATGACTTAGATCTCATAACAAGCGGATAATAATCGTCAAAAAATTATACCGATGCCCATGTCTCTCTGGAGAATGCCTATGAATATCTATAAGTCAAACAATTTCATATAAGTGATCAAATTTGACAGGGTTTTCAATCTAAAAGACATATTTTCAGTGGACGATTTTTATTTAAAGTAATTGGGGGAAAACAATTGTATTATTACAATTTTTATTGTGTATTAAATTAAATATGAGCCTTATTTCTTAAAAAAATGTATTAAAAAACCTATAAATGCTTTTAACTTAAATTTTAGGATAAAATTAAAGTAAAATTGGTATCTTCAAAGTTTATTAGTTTTAATTATATTGAAAATTTCGAATATTTTGTTGTATTTTTGCATCTCTTTTTAGTATACTTATATGTGAGAAAATCGACTCTCACACACATCCCATCACGATATCTCTGACACTATTAGATCGACAGACTTGAAACTAGGTAGTCTTGCTTCTTTTGTTTAGTAAAGATGTAGTAAGAATGAGTTTTTGAGAAATCGATTCCCAAAAGGTGGTTACAAAAGTGTAGACGATAATTAATATATATGGAGGAAAAACGATTCACAAAATCTTCGAAACTATTAGAATTTAGACATAAAAGTTGTAAGGCGGTTTTTTTAGTAGAAAACCACTAGGGAATTTAAAGAAATCGTGTCCCACAATGTTGAGAAAGTTAATATATTAGATAATTTTTATCGATGGACAGACAGATCAACCCGGGAAATTAAGCTATGTTTGTTTGATTTAGCTATTTTATTTCCTAAAACATTCGTTACCGGAATAATAATTTGCAATTACTTAGTTATCCAAAATATTAAATTCTGACCTCATTAGGATAAGCATTCATTCACAAAGAAATTTTTTTCCAACCATTAAAGAGAGACCGGCCTGTATGTCATCACATTTTTATACTAATTTCAAAATAACCCAGTTTCTAACTGGTCATGGCAACTTTAAATGCTACTTGAACAAATTTAATTTACTTCCGTCATCTTGTGATTGTGATATTGGTGGCGAGGGAGATGTGGAACATGTGCTCCTTCTGTGTTCCAAGTGTGTGAGAGAACGAAACATCCTAAGACTGGCTTTTAAGAGACTTAATATAAATTATCCACCGGATCCTCAGCAACTTCTTTTCACTAAAAGTGCTTTTAAGAAGTTCTGTGAATTTGTTGAAAATATTTGTAATTCTTCATAACCTCGAAGTATTTTGTTTTATTCTTTTGTAATATGTAATTAATACTTACTTCTGTGAGCCCCGTGTGATACTTTGTGGTGCACGGGGATTTTATAATCGTTTTCAATAAAAAAAATGAGATTTTACTTTAACAACTCGATGCCTATAACTTTAATTCACATATACGAAGAACAAGTGTGTGTATCAGTTAGTTTAAAATACATTTTTAACAATGTAAAATTATTAAACGTAAAAAAAATGTTAAATGTGTAAAATATAAATGAATTATATTCAAAACGTATGTTAAATAAAACTCCGTTTACAAATTAAAATATACTTTTCCAGAGTTGTTTTGTTAGAATATGATTTTTTTATGCATAAAAGAAAATGTACATACTCTTCAGGTATTTTATTTTCATTAAATCAACAAAGCATTCAAGTGATGTATGATTTAATTTTTCCCATGTAATCTTTTGCTTTGAAGAAAACAGTTATATAAACGCTTATATCACGTATAAAGAGAAATGGTAGTAATTCTTAATCATTTAAATTATATTGTACTAAAACAACTGAACCATAATGATTTTGTTAGTAGGGTTTACTAATAATTACCTCACTGATTGCTTGTTCCAGTACCATTGGTGGTCTTTGACGAATTTAAACAAATGTGTAAGTCGAAAAGTAGGTGTAGCAATTGTCCTTAGCAATTAATTATCAAACACATTGTTATAGCTAGAAAAATATTTGGCAATTAATCTCAGGCATGTTAATATTTGGCAATAAAAAGAGGGCACGGAGAAGCACTCTTATTCCCGTTGAAGGTATTAAATGCTTAAAGAATTTTTCCATTCATAATAATTAAAAATTGTGCATTTAATTTTAATTCAGAAAATGCTGTCTGTTACAGAACTTAACTTCTGGTTTAGATCATTTCATGTGTTTAAGTGAACATGAAATGAAACAGCGATATACAAAAGAAATATCAATTAAATGTTGATGTTTTTTTTTCCAATTCCTACTCTCTTCATATATATATATATAAATATATATATATATAATGTTCAAATTTTCAATCGTTAATAAAATGCTTTCTCTCTCTATTCATCCCTTCAAGTTCAAATACAATTTTTTCAAGTATTAGTTCATTATTTAAATTAAAAAATGAATAATTAGTAACAAAGAAAAATAGTAGTCCAACACTTTGTGGTGCACGGAGATTTTATAATTGTTTTCAATAAAAAAAAACACCATATATAAAAAGGAAATCGCTTGTCATGTCCTAGGAGCGCATTGGATAGCTCGTTGAACTATTAATCCAAAGGTTGTGGGTTCAAATCCCACATAGGATAGCCTAATTTCTGAGAATGTGATTTCTTTTTTACTATGCTATTCTATTAGAATAATTAAATTTAATGAATGAATAAATAGAAACAAAAAATAGTCTAGCACCCTATATAGAAAAGAAAATGGCTAGGAAAATCGCTTTCTATTTTGTCACTCAATATTGTGATTATGTCATATGTACATACATATTTGTATTAATTGTAACTATTTAATAAAAAATAACTAAAATAACATTTTTCTTTGTTGACCTAAGTAGGAATTGACTTAATTTTTTTTATATTACTTGTTTGTTTAATGAAAATTAAAAGTTCTCTTTGAAAGGAATAAAGTTGACTCGTTTGAAATTCTTTTGAGGGGCTGCGGTAGCCCAGTGGTTAAGGTATCCAACCATGGCAGGCATGTCATGAGTTCTCGATCCCAGTACCACTAAAGACCCGCAATTTGATGAAACAATTTGATGTACGCATGTAGTACGTATGAATGAAGGTTGAATGAATGATGACACGTAGAAAATGGTACACGCATGATTTTCTTGCAGAAACACAAAAACTGCTCGAAAAAGCGTCCACCAGCAAAGATGCAGGACTCACACCGCCGACGAAGAGAATGTCGAACATTAGAAAATACCCCGGGCATCGACGGCAATGCTCGCGACCAGGGCCTCGTCGGAGTCGACGGGTCTTGCGTAAACAATACTCTTCATATGGCCCCAGAGGAGTGGCCGTGGTAGCCGAGTGGTATAGGTATCGGGCCGTGGCTGTTATTGTCACAAGTTCGAGCCCAGTACCACTCAAGACCCGCCGTGTAGGGCAGCGATGCACGTTAAATCTGTCGAGAGCTGAAACGTCCTCCCGTTGGTGTGGTGTGGTAGTTAGGAGAGGGGGGTGCCAGCTCAGGTGTCGTCCACGTCACTTGACCATGGTTCAAAATTACGTGGTCCGTCACCAAAAGCCCTCGCGTAGCTGAACAGTGCGACGTTAATATTAACTCACTCACTTGAAATTCTTTTGAGAGCGCGTTTTAATAAATGATTTTTTTTAAGTGACGTAGACATATTTTTGAACACATTTGTGTCGGGTCTTTTAGGCGAGAGGGAATATATTTTGTACATTTTTCTAAAATGATAAAATGCTTTTCTAGAAAATTAACCCAGAATAATTGATTTAGAAAGCTGAATAATAAAGAATCACATTCATATTTTTGGGTATTTATTTTGGATACTTATATGGGACGGGTTATTTTCCAGAAATCCCGCACAGCAGATAATATATAGAGTTTATAAAATAATAAAAAATGGCAACATTTTATTTTGAAGTGTCATTTAAAATACCGTAAAATCCGGCGTATAATTTAAAGCAAAACTTTTAAAGCAAAAAATACGATAAAAATTTAAGGACGCGCGTAATAAATACAACGGGAATAAAAATGAGAGATTAAAAAATAAAAAAAGATCAACATATATAGAAAAAAGCAGGCTTCTGTATGTATCGAAATACTGTTTACTTTAAAGAAATGACATTCCCCTAATAAACTTAAAAGGTTGTAGTTTTAAAAGTATATTATTTTTGTTCTAAATCTTGGAATAATACTTAGATTAAATGATTTCAAAACAAAAGAGCATTGTGCACGTACGTTCCAGATCCTTTGTAAAGAAGGGGTGTGCGTTATACAGCGAATATACCTAAAAATTAAAAACTGCAACTTGAAAGTATAGGTGCACGCTATACGCCGGATTTTACAGTAAATGTCCACTTATTTCTTTTTGTCGGTATTTTGAAAAGAGAAAAACATCAATACACAAATATAATTATCATAAACGAAATTACCTATAATCGCATAAATAACTTTGACTGTGCTATTCAACAAACCTATGAAACCTATTGCTGGTAACGATTTTCTTTGTAGTAAGATTTGTGTGTGTGTGTGTAATTTTTTTGAAGATTTAATAGTTAGTTTTTTAACAATTTTATATCATACGTGCTTCATTTTTTAAAATTCGTATATATTTTAGAAAATCTAGAATGTACATAATTCAGACCCATTCTTCATGCTGAAAAATTATTAATACATTTTAGTTCACCGTAGTCATAGACTCGTGGTCGGTGTGTCATGAGTTCGAACCCCAGTGTTACTCAAGACCCTCCAGGTGGAAGGATTGATGCACGTTAAATCTGTCAAGACTAAAGGTCGTATCATGCGTACATTTTTCGCGTTCAACTGTTATGTCCAATTTTTTGCCTAATCTGAAGGGGAAAGGGTTGCCATAAACAAAAGAACATGCTGTGACGTCAGGCACGCTCTATCTCCACATTGAAAAATTACTCGCCGATTTTTCTGCTTCGGAAAACAAATATCCAAAATTCTCTTTTGTTTCGTTTGCGCTTTTGTTGATGAGCGTAAACAGAAATGGAGCACCATTCTATTTAAAATATTATACGCCATATCTGATGCGTTTGACGAAATAGAAGCCACTATCTTGTTTATGACGAAGGGCACCAAAGAACCCCATTGGCTGGAATTCCAAGCAACTTTTATTTGGAACAACTTTTTGAGCGGGCTAGCAAAAAGTTGTTAGAAAGCCGTTGCTATGGCAACTGAGTAAAAATTACTCGAATTGGATGAAAAATTGCTCTAAACGTGTACGTGTAATAAGGTCTTAAAGTCTTTCCGTTGGATTGGTTGGGAAGCTTGGAGAGGGGAGTGACGGTCCAAGTATCATCGTCATTTTCCCAAGGTTCAAAATTGCAAGGTCCGTTACCAACAGCCCTCGTGTTGCTTTATAGTGTGACGTTGATTAATTATATATATATATATATATATATATATATATATATATATATATATATGTAATGCTCACTCATTTAAAAACTTAGATAAAATGCATTGCAATGTACATCTGACGAGACAAGTAGTCTTAAGTCCATTTTTTATCATTGAGAAATCTTTAATCTTTTAAAAAATATTACGTGTAAATATATACTTAAAATTTCCTAAAAAAAGACAAACCATTCTTGAAATAAAAGAGAAAATGAAATGAAGAAATGATTAATTTTAATCTCGGAAGCAGCGGAGAACGAATCAAATCAATACCAGAACACTCTTTCTCTTAATCCCTGAAAGAGAGTATCGGAAGTAAACAGAATATTTCGGAATTGAACCCAAGGGGGAAAAGCGAAAATGGGATCGATTTGCAAAGCATTGCTTTTCAAGTCAATTGAAAGGCGCCGTGTTACTCTGATAACCCATTTTCAGCTCTAAGTTCCTCCTTTTTTTAAACTGTTGATCCAAAATGTTACTATTAGGAGAAATAGAGAAACGATTTAAAGGAGAGGATTCATTTCATGATCATGACAAAAAAATCTATCAGTTTAGAATGACAAATCTAAGAACAGCATTTACTAATTTAAAAAAGTAATGCTTTAAATTAAAATTTTTGAAATATTTTGATGTTCAATTTAATGAGTTTTTACATTTATAAATTCTAATATTCAGAAATATTATGTTAATACTATTGAATTTGGAATGTCTTTTTTTTGGTACTTTTCCGTTTCGCCGGTCCAAGTGATAAAGTCGCCAAAAAGGATACAATCGATTCCAAACTGAATATTCCTGCTGGTAACCTTTTACCATCTCATCTTCAAAAGAAGTCGTGGTCTTTAATTATCCGTAACATCTTTTTCGGAATTAATCAAAAATAGATGAAAAACCAAAGAGAACTAACATTTGTATGTGTGTGTGTGTGTGTGTATTGTGTGTTGTTGCCCATAAAGCTTGCTTGGAGAGATTTGCGCCGGCGGAAAGGAAAAGTACCGCCTTTTTGAAAAATTTACACTTTTGTGTCTTACGTGATTGCAATAAAATGAATCTAAAGTAAAAAAAAAAAGCTTATAGTATTTTTCCATCATTAATTAGAATTTTTAAAATTATTTTTCCAATAATCTAAAACTCTATATATGAAGTAATGTTTTTAGACGTGTTGATTCGAAATTGTTTCAGAAGTGATATTTGTCGTATTTACTCAACTATCATCGTCTACTCTAAAACCAAAGTTTAAGTAGAAGTACTCATTTGCCATAATCTCGTCCTCTCCCCCGGGAAAGATTTTCAGCTAAACTCACAGTTAAAGATTGATTTTACACACGAGAATTAGTGGGGAAGAATCGCGGATAGACTCGTTACAAAGGTTTTCCCTCGCATTTGCAGCTATAAATCGAACCCAAACCTTGGTATTCCATATTACCCGATTATTCCATAATACCCGACTTTCACGTATATTTATATGTTTATTCTTTATCAAATTCATAACATGTAAACATTAGCATTACGACTGAAGAATAAATAGTTCTTCAAAAATAGTTTTACAAGCATGCAAATACAGATACAATTTCAATCCCTCAATTTATTTATTTAAATATTTTCGAAGTCTTAACGTCGAATGTTTTCTGAAGTCTCAAACACTGTTTTGATTTTGTTCAAACGCATTCTATTTGGTCAGAACGATTATAGAAACAGTCTCTTTCAAACAGGATTCCGAAATTTTCTCCAATGTCAACAAAGCATTTTAAAAATTTCTTCGAGGCATTTGGCAACGAGTGAAAATCGACGCTACTTAAATTGATGGGCATTGAATAATTCAATAGTTGAAGTGGGTGGAAAACTGAATATTTGTACTTCTTTGGCGTTAGTGCATGTGTGTGTGTGTTTTTTCCTCGATAACAGTGCGCCAACAGGATTAATACAATTAGTGAAATATTAACTCCCTTTTCCCTTAATAAAACTTTTTAGTGAAACTTACAAAGACTAAAATAAATTTTAATGTGTGAATAAATAGTATTGCCTTTAATACTAATAATTGTATGGTAGAAAAGGAATAAAAGATCAATTTTCAAATAATTAATATAATTAAAGAATGTGTAAATTGTATAATTATTTAACACATATATACTAAGAAGAAATGACTCACACTCATTCATCACAAGAAATATTAACCCACAGACTTGAAATT